CTGGCCATGGCTGGCCCCTGGCCTGCAGTCTCCGCTGCTCCCTGAGGTCTGGCCTGCAGATCACAAGAAGCGGCTCCGGAATCTCCCAAAGGATCTCAGAAATCAAGGCTCTCAGAATCCAGCGTCTTGCTGATGCCAATCCTCTGCGCCCAACTCTTCGTAGGAACCTCACGAGAGATGTTGCGGAGACTTAACACATCTGGACACCCTCTGACTCTCTGTTTGAGCTTCAAGCCAACAGCCGCTCCATAGACGGAGGCAGATCCACATTCGTGCCTAAAGGTAACAACAAAAGGAACAATAAGAAGAAGAAGAAGAAGAAGAGTCAAATGGAATGTTGAGCTGAGCTCTTGACAGTTGTACTGTAGATCTTCTCCGTACTTCTGCCCCATGTTCAGTGGTCCGTACCTCACTGCCAGCATACCATGCACTTTGAGCCTGAGGAAAGCTTCAGAAACCTAGATAGTCCCAGCCTCTCAAGGAATGGAAATGCGGCCATCCAACCACCACCCACACGAACCTGATGAAACAACAGAGCCGGCACAAATCGCTGCAGTCCCCAAAGTTAATTCGTCTCTTGGTTCTGTGAGCGAGCAGGTCAACCACGAGATTTGAAAAACTAGTCCACATGGGGAGCCGCCGGAACATCACATCAGCAGATCGAAGTGTTTTCGGGGATCTTGCCTGTAGCCCGCCATGTGTCACCCGGCAAACGATTTTCTTGCCTGTTTGACCTTGCAATCAAACGAGCAATCGAGGCGAAGCGTGCTTCACTGGTGCAATTGAGGGCAGCACTGCCCATGCGGTAAACGCAACGCTTTTCCTGCCATGAGCTCAGCTCCGTCCGAAGACGAGCACAACAAAAGCCCTGCGGCCTTAACAAGGCACCACTGGGGATGTTGAGGAAAGCGCTGAAGCCTCAAGAAAGCAGCCGATGTAAGCGTGCACCATCCTAACAAATATTTGAAAAGAGGCCCGAAACCTCCCCATGTTCACTATCGTCATGTGACACACTAGTTGCCTGTACCTCTTTCTCGACCTAGCTCCAAGGAATTTACTCTTGCGATTTACTCAGCGCAAGACACAGCGCGCCACATCTCGTCTACCTCGTCCGTGTGTGGAGCCGGCTCATACCTTGCCATCTCGACAGATTCTTCCACCCTTCTGCACCAGAAAGGCTGCTGGGACCCCAGCGCAGAGCCCTTGTAGCTGGAGCTGCCTCGCGTTTCGTGCCAGGATGTCTTCCACGCCATTTTTTCAACTCAGACTCTTACAAGAATGCAGCAAGCACAGCATGGCTTGGAAAGGGCCAGGCGTGACATGCCCGAGCAACTTTGAAAGGGACATGGCGCTTCACCACCTTGGCCGCTCAACACGCGAATCAGACGCGCTCCCGAAGTCTCCCACACACTTTGGCTTGGGAGCTGGCCGTGAGCCGCATTCGCTCGGGCACCTCAGTATTTCCACCTTTCGCCTCTTTTGCATCTCATGCAACATGACTTCCAGAAGCAGCGGATGCGAAGCCAGGGGGTTAAACGGAGTCACGGCTGGGGTATTGATACAGATGGAGTGCTACAAAATTGAGATCTACTCTCTTTGAATGTTCCCATTCGGAGTGCCCTTGTTCACATGAGGGGGGAATCCTTTTCTAGAAGGCAACCGAATTCTGCGACCAAAAGCACTTCAAAATTTGTCGCTAGGCTTCTGACGATGTTTTGGACTGGGCGGAGATGAAGCAGACTTCCTCAGAAGACACTTTCACAATCTTTCACACACACACACACACACAAACAGGAAGCCCAGCCTTGCCATGCCGTTGCCTCTTGTCAAACTGCTCAGGTGCTGACTTCGGCGGTGACCAGGAAGAATTTCGCAGGGACGGCTGCCTTTTCAAATTCCCGTTTGGAAGGATACGCACGTGGTACTGGCAATGACATGAACCCCCGTGAGCCACGGCTTCTCTACTCGGCCCAAAAGCTTCTGTTAGAGCTCCCGAAAGCTTGAAATTCTGAAACACAGAATGGACTCGGCCACAGACTCCATCTCAGCTGTCTTATCTTCCGGCCAGGTCTGTAGCTCAGCTAGCTCCTGCATTGACACAAACAGCCTCGAACTGAAGGCAAGGACGGGCTTAGCAAAATCCTCGCGAGTGTGCCGGTGACAACGGGCAAGCTCACTCCGGAGCCTGGGGGATGTCAAGACGTGCTGTGTCTCTCTGTGCTCTTGCTCTCTCTGACGGGAGAATAGGATGTGGAGACAAGGTCATGGCTGAAAGTATCTGAAAGTCTGTCAGGCACATGAGACTGTAGCAATGAGCTGATCAGTTGCAACTGGAACAGTCCAAAGCAGCCTGCTGGTCTTTCACAAGGCCATATTGTATGGACAACGAACCCGATGAGGTTGCGTACCCCAAGTGGAACTCTGACCACACACACAAACCCACACTCACTCACTCTCTTGAATTCTTGGGCTTGGAGATACCCTTTTTCACACAACTCCGAGCGCGGGCTCGTGGAAACCTCAGAACATGTCATAATCTTCCTTGCAATTCAAAGGCGCACACAAGCTCCCGCAAATGGCACTTCTTTCAGGAACACCTCCAATGATGTACATTTCTTGAACCAACGTTGGAGGACGGCAACCGGGCAGGGCCCCCCCAACTGGGGGGCGCACGTCAAACAAAAAGAATGTGACACACAAGCGCCCGTATGCGCCCGTGGCCCCGGCGGAGAAACAGTTGGGATTATGGCACGCAATTACAGTTAAAGTTCAGCACAGCACTCGATTCTGGATTGAGGCCAGGATGAGCGCATGCAGGCAGGTTGGCAGCTGCGCCGAAAAGCAGGACCATGTCCTCCGTGCCGTGCCGAGCTGCATTGTACCGTCGCGAAACAGAATCAGCATAGGCATTGCCCAAAAACGTGAAGGGTCCGATGACACTCAAGATATGCGGTTCAAGCTTCCCAGCATGCCTTTCCATTATGCCAGTTTCAGACAGGCCGTGAACGTGGCTCGAAAGAAACTGCATGATGCCGCAGATGCGCGGCACGTGCTGTTGGCCGAAAGGAGTGGGTTACCATTTGATCGTGGTTTCAAGCTCCATCCTAATTCAATCTACACTGCGCAAAAGGAGTCGTTAGCGAAAGTCTTTGAGCGGCGCTCTGCGCGAAAGGAGTCGATAGCGAAACTCTGTGAGCGGCGCTTCTCATTGACCGTTGGCAAAGTGCGGGAACCATGCAAGCTTTCATCGCAAGGACTTTTTGGCGTTTTTGTCGCTTACCGGAGATTAGGGCAAAAGAAAGGGTCTTGACGCCAAGCTGTCAGAGCTGCTTTTGGGGGGGGGGAGCTGCAAGTACGACCAGGCATGCTCGGTACTGAAGCTGCCGGCTCCGGTGTAGACCGAGTAAGTTCAGAAAACCGAAGTGGAGCAATTTGCGCCAGTTAAAAGGTGCTGAAGGGAGGGGCTCGAAGGAGGGCGAGTACCTAGCAAAACTCGGGGAAGTCCTTGGGCGTACAAGCAAGTATTTGGGAGCAGCTGGCCCAGCTCGCAACATCCAGACTGCCACAGCCAGCGAAAACAATTGTAAAATCATGAGAAATGAATATGGTCTGAGCCAATGTATGCCATCGACACCTTTAGTGCCCAACCCCAGGCAGCCGTGTTGTTGTGTCAGCGCGAACTTGTGCAATTACTTGTTCATGTCCCCGCTTGTACGCCGTCCGTCTTGGAGAACGCAGCCTCCTCTGACCAATGGTTCTGCGCTGGAGGGCTCCATTGCCGTCTTCAGACACATGTCCGGCCCCGTACAGGTGGCAAGGCCTGTACGAGCAACAGTTGGCCGTCGCGGTTGCTCGATAAAAGCTGGAACTGCGGGAAAACAAAACAGTTCATTCCACGAGCGAAGAATCACGTCGAATGTAGCGAGGCTGCTACCGAGACGCATCCCCAGACCTCAGGCTCCTGCCATTGCATCTCCGTCTGTGCCTGCACTTGACTTGTGAATGGCATGCCATGTGTGGAATGCTTCTTTCATCTCCGCATCTCCAGCCTCCCTTACCTGCTGCTCTGCATGGAGTTTGCCGCTGGACAGCTGCCTGGCCAAATCTGGCCACCAAAAGGGCGTGACCCAAAAAAACAGAAAGGTTAAAAGCAACTGAACACATGTTGCATGGACAGGTGGGAGGCAAGGAGCAGGTGACACAGCAGCACAACATGAAGCAATGATAACATTTGTGCTGCATGCGGTATTCGGAACATGAGTTTGTCTTCCACACTTTCGGGTGTGGGGAGCAATGATTGCGACGCTTCCCACTCATGCCTTGGTATATAATACTTTTGACTTTGGGGCCTAGCAGTGACAAGCACGGCACGTGGAAAATCTCATCTGAAAACTGTGAACAACAAGCAAAAGATGAAATGGCATGCTGAACGCTGCACAGCTGCTACGTGTTCGCATTACGTGTTGTCATGCACATGTCAAGGACATGGTGCGCTCTGCAACGTCTTCGTCTAAACCATACTAGACCTGCTGACCTCGACTCAGCAAGCACTTGTGACCTATTCAACTATTCCTGCCGCCAGTGGGCCTGGTTTCGGTAAGTTGTGCCTGATCTGCCCTGAACCCCTGACTTTTGACACGTGCAGTGCAGATGCAAACTCTGCATGTCGAAAGCCCTTAACCCCAAACTCTAAAGGCATGCAAGCCAAGCTCGTTCCGCACGCATGCTTCGTTGCGTATCTCAAAAAACGCAGCGCCAGCTCATGTTGGGTGTGTGTGTGGGTGTGTGTGTGTGTGCTTTCTCGTCTGGGCTGTGTTCAGCAACGATGCTTAATTTGCTGCTTATGCTTGCACACGGTGTGGTATGTAAAGTCTCAAGATGTCTCAGGCCGAGCTGACAATCCAGCATCGGGAGCTGAAGACTGAGTCGTGTGCACAGGCAGGTCTCCGGACAAACCGATTCAGTCAACCCATGCCAGTCGCGCTCGACTCTGGAGATCAATGCGTTTTGGGAGCGCTCGGCCTCCTGTCTCTGCTGCAGACCTTCCCGTGCTCGTACATCTTCGCATGTTTCGTGCATGAAAGCGTACCAGCACTACTAGAGCCCTTACATGCCTGACGTGGTTTTTGCTTCAGCCGACTAATGCACCCCTCGGCATGCACGAACACCTGTTTTGTTTTGACTTGAGAGATGGGGCGGCTGTCAACGCTCTGGTCGTCAAGGTACCTGTGCACTGTCCATGTTTTAAGACAGGCGCAAGATGTGCAAGTTGCCATGCCAAACCCAGGCACCTTGCTTCTTGCACGGCGACTGAGCCGACGCCAAGCTGGTCGCAGCGGGCCCCTCAACTTTTTGAGGCTTAAGTCTGAGGGCGCCTTGTACCGCATGATGAACATACACATCTCTGAATCCGGTAACTCGGCCTCCCGATACCGGCGATGGCTGCCTCAAACAGGCGTGCTGAAGGAGTGCTCACGCACGCCGATGTGCTGCACCCTGACCATCCTGACTGTGGCATGCGTTGCCTTGAGCATCGTTTCATCTGGCAGCTGCACCTCCGATCGGACACTCCCAACCCTCACTTCCGTCACTTCCCCTGGAACCCTTGCCTTGCTCCTAACTTCATGCCACCACTTTCCGCATTTTACCATACAGTACATCGGCTTTGGATGTGGGAGCTAAGGCTGAAGACTCTGCCACAAAAACGGCAGCCTCTGCAATTTTTGAATTATGTACGGACATGTATACATAAATGTTTATATATATATATGTATATGGTATGGTCAGGTAGGTGGGGGGGGGGATGTTAAAGGCCTTTGGGCAGGGTTTAGGGAAGGGTTTAAGGGCTTAGAGACCCACTCACTTTACGAACCCTTTAAGCCCTGAAACCCTGGGCCCAAAACGAAGCCAAAATCAGAAGCCCTAAACCCCAACCCCAACCCAAAAAGCCGCCCACCACCAGGTGGGGAGCGGGGGAAGTGCCTAGATCATGACCATAAGCCCCAAAGCTTTAAAAACCCTAAAACCTTGCGCCCGAAAAAACTAAGCCCTGTGCAAGCATTTACGATGACTTTATCATACTTCTCTTCAGATCTTGCCTCGGGCGCCGCCTGTGTTGGCTCACGGAACAGCGTCAGCTCCACTGCACCAGATGGAAGAATGGGGACCATCAGATAGCCTGAGGCAGTTCAAGGGGCAGTGTTTTTTCCTTTCAATTTTCTGCGCACTTCTTGCGACCTTCCACCACTCGGGGGGGGCCCATCGCAATGACTCGAACACCCGCAGGCACCTCCGACATGGGAAAACATGGAAAACAACAACAATGACATGGTCAGCAGCTGCTGAAGTGTGCGTAAGTTGATGTAAGTTGTACCAGCCGCCTCACCAACCGATCTCCAGGACTCGGGAGATTCGAAGACTGGAGCGTTGACGAAGGCAACCAAGTGCGTGCCCGCCTTCACCTTGACACACACTAAAACGTGCAGTTCAAGATGGCTCTGCCGAGTTTGGCTCTGCCCAGTTGGGCGACGTGCTTTGTCAGTGATGCCTCTCATATATCTGCACACAGCGACACCGATGAGCACTTGTTGACACACGCTGCAATACCGATAAGTGCCAGCGGATGAACCTCAACATGTTTGCATGTTTGTCTGCTGCTCAGGGCCAGAAAGCAAGCAGAAACTATGTGCAACACAACGGGCAACGAAACTGCCAGGTTCAGTATCTTTTGCAATGTCCGACTAGCAAAGACAAGCATCCAGTTCGAAACTGTACCTTCGTTGCACACAGTAGGTTGGCAGATGGTCGAGTTCCTGCAAAGCAAAAGCCTAAACGGGCCAAAACTCTAAACCCGAAAAGCGGATAAGAAGTTGCACACACAAAGGCCGACACATCAAAGTGCTTCTCCAAGAACGACGAAATAGTGAGAAAAGGGCTTAGGACTTGCCCCAACTGCGCACACTAAATAGAAGCAAAAAAAGCAACGGGAAGGGATGGGAAGCGGAAGAGGAAATGGGTTTGCTCGGGAATCGGGCCAATGGGGCTCAGGGATTCCAATGAGCACGACATTGTCGGTTTGCAAGGGCTCGTCTTTCTCGTCCCCTGGCTGTGCGAAGGTGCGCAGATGGAACGGGGAAGGGAAAGAGTTCGATACCAGCTCCCCACAACATGGCCATCAAGGATGAAGGCTCGAGCAAGTGCCACCAGCGGTTCTTTGTCAGAAGAACTCATGCACTCCTGGTCACTCACCAGCAGGCGTCGAAAAGCGGGACAGTCGTGACGGAGCACCCCTCATAACCGATGCATATGCCCTTGCATACACACTTCCGGTCTCGGTAACCGAGAACAGGGCAAGGAAAGCAGTAGCTTCGCTGAGTTTTCGAAAAGCCCGCATAAGTATGTAAAAGTGCGGGCTGCCCTTTAGGATCCAACGGCCTCTTGACCGAGAGCGCATTGATGAGCCATTCTCAACACGTGCTGGCCTAATGAGAGGTGACAACGGATGAGCCTCAACATACTTGCATGTTTGCCTGCCATTCTGGCTCCACTACGCCAAAGATATGGACAACAGTGAGTGCGAAACAACGCAAAGCGCAGCTTTTAGAACATACGTTCGGTATCTCTTATGTGTCCGACTGAAACAGGCGGACATCTCTCTGCGACCATAGCTCCGTTGTCCTGCTTCCATGAGCTATCCCGGATTCTGGATTCTAGGAACACAAGCAAATGAGGCACTGACAGCCGAGGCTCGTGATTCTGCTTCGGTGCCTGGCATCTGACTTTTCAAGAGTTCAAGCACCGACGGATCACCGACGCACTGACGAAGCACTCATGAAATCACGAAGACCTGCAGCCTGGTCGCGCTCGCCAGTCATCCAATAGGCCATGGCCTGGCAATATCAAGACCAGCAGGCAAACAAGCAGTAGCAGCGCACGGAGCTCTGTGGCCAACGCGCCTCTGCCCCAGGTCCCCTGCATCAACCAGTTTGCCAAGCTGTTGAGAGGTATACGTGTTCAGGCAAACGAACACAGTAGTTTCCGGTGCTCCTTGTCAGGTCGCGCTCAGAAAACAGCTGGACGGTAGCGTGGTAGACGTCCACTCCGTCTTGGATTTCTTTGCCTCCAGATGTCGCCATCTAAGCTGTGACTCTGCCACAGGCTGCTACCACGATCTTGGGAGGATTGGCCCACTTCTAAGGACACGTTGCTGCTCTTGAGGATGCGAAACCGGCCGCCATTGGCAGACAGCAGCTGGACCTGTCAACTTCCAACAGAAATTCAGCACATGATGAGAGCATGTGAGCGTGTGTAATAGCATGTGAGCATGATGTGAGCACTGGAGAGTGACCTGGGAGCCAGGTCCGTACCCGGGCACGTGGTGCTCGGAGTCCCCTGGAATCCAACGGAAGTCCTGGAAACATCTTTCCATGCAGTTCTTCAAGATCGGCCGAATTGCTCTGGTCCTCTACAACTGCCAGCACACCCGAAGTGCCTGCTTGAGGAGGATACGACCTCAGACGAGTAGACGAGTATAGACGAGTAGACCAGTAACAAGACTTGCAGACTTGAGGTCACAGGGGAGGTGGCTGCAGTGAGAAGGACAACCCTGTCGAAGCTCGAGCCCCGTGCTCAGCGTAACCGAACTGCCTGTTGCTGCTTGAAAGGATCTTCCGAGCCACATCCTGAAGCAGTCACGAACATGCCCGCATGCACGAATGCCTGAAGTACGATCATATGGTTGAACACATGGTTGAAAATGAAACTCTGATATGGACTCGACCTGTTCAGACAGTGAAGATATCGCAGCGAATGCATGGCAACAATGTACACAATTGGCAATTGAATTGCAATGGTTCAGCGAAGAGCGGGAAACGTGCGTTTCGTGTGGGCCGTGTGGGATGTGAACCGAAAAGTTCTCTACTTCTCTACAACTCTACAATGCATTTCAGCAGAAGCCACTTTCTGTGGTACACAGATGGGCTGAGCCTCTGAGCCTCCGACTACATACTGCGGCTGGTAGAGGCTGAGCGCAAGCTTGCCTTCGCCATTCCTCAAGCCATGGGGAGGCCAGGTCAAGCACAAGTCCATAAATGGCATAGACGGCATACACGGCACAAACGGCACAAACGGCATAAACTCTAAGTCTTTAAGTACAAGCGGCATTACGGAATGCCAAGGCTGGCCCAGGCTGAAGAGCGGCAAGCCGGGGAGTCTTAGACTGCGTCGCACAATGCGGGCCATGGCTGCGCATGATCGGCAGCATTCTCAATTGGGCTGCGCAAAAGCCACTACCAGTCACTGCCATCTTTGATCTACGATCCTCTAGGACTCTATGACTCTACGAGTAGATGCTGCCGTGCCTGAAGCAGGTCATCGGTGCTGCTGACTCACATTTGCACCATTGTCGTGCGGGCTTGCATGTAGCACTGCGAGATGTTATCGTCTTGTCTGAAGCTTGTCAGGCGGCATGCCAAGGTGAGTGCTGTCCAAGTTCAAGCCCTGGAACTTCGTGGCACTGCGGCCCTCTCAGGCCTTCATCGAGGAGCGCGCGCAAGACATCCAACTCAGCTCGCAAGCCTCGACGACAAATCAAAACAAAAACATTCATGGTCCTCGCAGGTCAGCAAAACATCTGAAGTTGGATGGCAGCCTTCAATCTCGGATCGCAACGCCCCAACCTGGGCACTGCTAGGACCAAACCGCACATTGCTGTCATAAACCCAAGGATCAGAAGCTAAGGAGTCCGGGATCGTCTGTGCGACAGGAGTAAAACCATGCAAAACCGGAAGCGCTGTGTCACTGAGGGCCTCTTGATGAGCTCAGTGTGGAGACATGTTTTTGGGTCATGTCACATGTCATGTCCTTATGTCGAACCCGAGATGGTTCCAGAGATTTGGAGTTCCTCGTTTGTGCCGGGTCTCTCGAAATTGCAGCGCTTCCCAGAGAGAAGATGCAAAATATGGTACCAAAAGCTCGATGGCTTTCTGTAGAATTACGACAGCCTGTCCGAGAAATGAGTAAGAATTCTAGGGGTTAATGTGACTTGCTTCACAGGATGCGGGGCGCTTCCTGCCCCGAAAGCTTAACTTCGTGAAAAGCGAGGCTCAAAATGGCCGAGGTTGTGCTTTAGCCATTGCAAGCTTGCTTCAAAGCATATGAACCTTTCTGAAACCCATCATGCGACCATTGTGTTTGCAAATGGGAAATTGGGGCCCACCCCCCCCACCCACCCCCCATCCCCCCCCACCCCCCCCCCCCCCCCCCCCACCCCCACCCCCACCCCCCCCCCCACCCACCCCCCCCCCCCCCCCCCCCCCCCCCCCCCCCCCCCCCCGGTTTTTCCCGAAGCACGGCGGTTGTCGTCAAAAAGTCGTCGTTATATTGATGGATTTGGTGAGCTTTCCTCTTAAATTATGTTTTGAAGCAAGGGGTAGGGTTGGCGGGAGCCGCCGCACTTGGTTTAAAAAATGCAAAACGCTAACCCTCTACGTGTTTTCGCGTTGTCGAAACGCCATGACAAGGACCTTCTGCATGTTCCCGGCGTGTCGTGATCGCGCGAACGACAACCCTCTGCATGTTTTCACGTTGTCGAAACGCAAAAACGAGGACCCTCTGTGTGTTCCCGGCGTGTCGTGATCGCGCGAACGACAACCCTGTGCGTGTTTTGGCGTTGTCGGAACGCAAAAACGATGACCCTCTGCGTCGCGCGAACAACAGCCCTCTGCGTGTTTTCGCAGTATCGACACGCCAAAACGAGGACCCTCTGCATGTTGCCGGCGTGTCATGATCGCGCAAACGACAAGCCTCTGCGTGCTTTGGCATTGGTGATCGCGTGAACGCCAACCCTCTGTGTATTCTTTGGGTGTCGTGAAGCTTCGTCGCTATCGTTGATGCATGGATGCCGTGATGGATGGCGGGTGGTCTTCGTGAAGGTTCTTCGTTCTCGATGATGCATGGATGGATGTCGTGATGGATATCGTGATGGATGATGCATGGACGGATGTCGTGATGCGAGGTCTTAATCGTGGATCGAAAATGCTTTCGGGACAACCGTTCTCTAGTTTTAAGACGTGCAAACTTGCTCGAAAGCATATGAATCTTTCTGAAACTCCTCTCAAATGGGGGGGCTGCCCCCGCCCCAAAACCCCCCCCCCCTTGTTAAGCCCATCATGCGAGCATTATGTTTGCAAACGGGGGGGCGGGACTGCCCCGGCCTTTTCTAAGCCGTGCAAGCTTGCTTGCCACTTTGGGGTGGGTCCTTGCCAGGAAGTGAGCAGACGGTGTGTCGTGCCGAGGCGTTTGCCCTGCAGATGCTATTTCAGTACACCTTCGGTGCGGTTGAATTCTGCAGTGACTCGCAGCTGTGCGGCTCTTTTGCGGAGACGCTGGCATACCCGACCACGTCGCTCCCAAGTGAAGTTTCTGTGCCAGCCTCTAAGACCGGATTTCTTTGCTTACGGCTGTTGATGGCCATTGTCGGAAGGTCCCGGAGGCGCTGATGGCAAGATACCCCTCTTGGCATGAACCCCAACCCGCGCATTCGTCAAGAAAGCAAAGGCCAAAGCCGCCGACTGGGGTGCAGCTGGTTCTGCATGCCTCCACTTTCTATCCTGATCGTTCCTTCCGACTCAGCACAAAGGCAGCAGCCGGCAGGCAGAGCATGTGACATGTGGACTCCGCGTTTAGAGCAGCTGGCTTAGGCCCAGACTTGTGTTTGTAAATGGGTTAGGCTGCCCACCCCCCCGCATTTTGAAGCAAGGAGCACAGAGAGCTCACATGCTTTGCCATGCTTTATAGAGTGCACAGGAAATGTAGAGCTTTTGTAGACTGAAGCAAGGCTTGTGGGCTTCACAAGCTTCATCGGGTTACGGTGCTTGAACGTGCCAGCGCATGGCTCGGGCCGCAGGGGGCGGGAGCCGCGGGGCCCGGGCCGCCGTGCCTCCAGGCCGGGCAACAATCCACCTATCACAAGTTTCTGCGGTGTTCATGGTTTCTGTGGTTTCTATAAAACGTCCGTGGTTTCCGCGGTTTCTATTCCCATGATTTCTATGAGAATCGTACGGTGCAAGGGGCTTAGCTGGGCTTGAGTGTCCGGAATGTTTTTCGGAATAAGAAGAACATGACAAAAGTTTGTGCGCAATATTCGCGGACGGACAGCTCCAATTCTCAGGACAGTGCGGTTGCATCACCTGCACTAGCAGCAACACTACCATCGCTGGCAAGCCTCGGCTGCACAGTACCAGATAGGGCAGATGGGGGAATGCACACTGTCTTCTGCACAGCTCCAATCAAGAGGCTGTGTACAGCCAGATGCGCCAGAATTTTCCTGCGCAGCTGTAAACACGCGCGCATCCCAGGACTAGTGCTTCAGCAAAACTCAACGAGTAACGTATAAGTCTCGTATGTCATTGCACATTGCATGGCCTTGTCTGACTTAACGGCAGCTCTCCACTCTTGCAGCAATACAACGAGTCGTCTGGGCCATTCAGAAGACTGCCAAAGTGTGCATCCTGTAAGGCGCTACGAATACTTCACAGGAAGGCACGGGAGACATCTGTCCGTACGGAAAGAGATACTCCAAAAGAACTGGCAGATCCGGCATGACGAAACAAGCCAAGCCTCTGTTGACAAGCTGGCGGCACCATGCGGCGGACCTTGGCAACAGCGCTACTTGAGGGAGCCTCTCGCAACAGTGACGGAATGTTAGCTTGCGCTCAAGCAAACCCCTGCCTGAACTGTCTTGCGAAAGCTTCACAGGCAGGGTCACGCCTCAGCGCAAGAAATACTCAGCACAAGCACACTGCCAATCAAACCTGTGATAAAACAACCGGAGACCTAGAGCACTGCAGACCACAAAACAGAAGCCCTGGTATCAGATCGTATCAGCATGCATCAGTATTCTAGCTGGGGCATGCGGCGTGACTAGCCAGTCATCCCTTTTGCTAAGTGGAAGAGGCATAAGAAGCCGCAATAACATGCAGCAGGGCATCTATACAAGGGCAAGGGCTGTTGGCACCGCTTCTGGCATTCTGCTGCGAAGCCTCGGAAAGGCTCTGACATAATCGAGTTGCGGATGTTTCTGGCATGTCAAGAAGCTTCCATTCTGGAGTGTCCAACCTCTGATATCTCAGGTGGGCAGAAAGAAGTGGATGGCCTGCCACAGCTGCCACAACAGACATGCAAGACCCATCACCTGCAGTGTGCGAACTACCGGGTCTTGCTTGAAGCGACCGAGCGTGCTGCAAGCGAGAAACAGCAAAAATGCGACCAATTTTCAGAGTAAAAAATGCTAGGTCCTCCCAATGGAGCACGCACCAACGAGACGTCGAAATCGATGGGTACCATGCCCTCTCGGTGTTTCTGTGTGCCCGAGACGGTCGTGTGAGAGACCTCGGAGGTCGGATGCCATCCCAAACATTCCCAAACATCGCATACGGCATATTTTGGGAAGTAGCAGCAGGCTTCCAAGTCGCACTCCCGTGTGGTGGGCGCATTCCGCATTTTGTGCTTTTGAACCGCTCCATGTCACGAAAAAAGGCAGGAACGCGCACTCTCCTGCCTCTCGTGTTCTTGAGCAGCTTCGCTTCGTGCGTCCATCTAAAATGCGGATTTGAACTTCGTCGTGCTTGCAAATGGCGCTCACATGCAAAAAAACAATCGCTGCTGTCTTCAAATTCTCCAATCATCATGACATGTTCCCAAGCTCGGAACTCTGGCTCCCTTGGAATGCTGGGGGGATATCTTGCATGGAGTGAACTTGGAAAGTTCCCTCTGGTCGGACTTTTTGGAAGTTGTTGCTTCTCGTACGGATTCTGCGCACTTCTTTTAATTTTGTTTGTATGCGCGACTGCGTATTCCGCCATGCACTGCTTGCTGCAACACAGAGCGAACGATATGCTAAGACTCCCTAAGGTCAGATTGGCTGTCTTGGCAGTCCTGACAGCCTTGACTTGAGACCACTTTAACAGCTTCGCTGGGGACAGAATGGGCAGAATGGACAGAAGCATCAACCAGGCCATCCCAAATCGAACATGATCATGAAATCATGCACGGCACACCCACAGCTCGCGGGAGCTGGCTGGACAGGGTAGGCCATCACCTCTACGACTCTGCGCGCATCCTCTCTATGCGTTTACGACGAGTGCGTTTTCCTTCTTAGATATGGGCTTCCCGTACAGGTTGCATAAGTTGCATTATGGGTTGCCTTCGGGGACGGAGCCACTCCTGGAGTCCAGCTTGCCCTCAGCTGAGCGTTTCCGAGAGAGCAAATCGTGGAGCCAAGAGAAGAAACCCCAATAAGGAGCCGGCGCCGGATGCGCCGGAGCCTGATTGGCAAGGGCATGAAAGCACTGAAAGCACTGAAAGCACCCAAAGCAATGAAAGCAAGGAAGCAAAGAAGGAAAAACTATAAGCACCCAATAGTGAGTTCAGCTATGACCGCTAAGCCCTCGACCGACGCCGACCCGGCCACCGGTCTGAACAGAGCGCTTTGCCCAAGTTTACAAGAAAACGCGCACAAAAAGTCTTGAAGCCCCATCCTTGGTCCCTGCAATAAAGGACTGGAAGGCACGCAGACGGGCACCAGTCCTGAACAGATCTGAACAGGCTTACCCCAAGCGGCAAGCGCTGAGCCACTGAGCAGCTCTTCTAGTCAGTTCTCGTCCATCTTTGGGTAGGAATTTCATGTTTTCATTGCCGTGGGGCACCAGCGGCATCCCGTGGGCGACACCAAGAACTACGGACACGCTGTAGAACCGAAGACCAAGTTTGTCTGTTTTGCGACACCTCTAACAGCTTAGATTTGATTTCACGTTCCCCCACACCTGCTCTCGCCCCGAAGTAATGGTCGTGAGCAATTTCATGGTGCTCCCAAAATCGAAAACAGTCGTGGGGGCTGCCTTCAATCTGCCCACGCTTTGGATATCCACAGGTTGCTTGCTTGCTGCTCTAGTTCTTCTCTGATGTTTGGAATTTTAACTCTGCCAAATCCCGATATCAACCAGGTTTGATCAACACCTCCTCCCCTCAGCTTCCGCAAATCACAAGAAGAAACAAAAAGATGACTGGTCCTCATGCCTACCAGCACGCCTCGCAAACTGTCTGGCATGCTTTGACCATGCTCTCCTTCCACCTCATTCCACCTCTAAACGGCTCATGCTCTGTCAGAGTCGCTGGGATAAGCATGTGGCATTCAAGTCAGTAAAGCAGAAACAGCTTTGCTGTCGTAGCAGACTGGCGCGGACAAAGTACCCTTTCTTCTTGTGTGCTAGAATCTGCGAGGGCAGAATGTAGTGTCAAAACACTCAGCTCCGTCCACTTTGATCGGGTCAACGCGACCATTCACACATTAAACCGAATGGGATCGGACAAGACCTGGGGAGGAATGAAGCGAGCAGCGTGTCACTAAACATTCTAGCAGATTCCAACAAACGCAGCGCCCCTCAAGAGCACACTGCTTCCTTCTGTTTGGGTTGCACCGCGCACCGCCTGCGGCATGTGCGGAACCACAGCCTCAGATCAAGGACTCACAACCAAGGCTGAGGATGACGAACCGGCATGGATCGGGCCCGTGCAGAAGGTGCCATACGCAAAGTGGCCTAGACTTTCAAGCGCAGTTAAGACTCGGAGATCTATCACAGCTTCAATCCGGCCAGCCTGGGCTTGAGTCTGCCTGTGCCTCAAGAACTGGTCGTTTGCTTCACTGTTTCATAAGGCTGGGTGAAATCCAAAATAGTTCTTCTGAGATGCATCTGAGACTGTGACACCAGACGAGGGGATGCTGGCGACACCTGCACACCAGTCGATGCACCAAAACAGTTGTCCTGAGTGTTTGAATTGGTCACACCTGGAAGGCGCATCCCTGAGATGGCCAAGCCTGAGCGAAACAAAAAGTGAACAGAGAATGCAGAAACAATGACTCACAGAGTGGAGTACAAACGAGAGAGATCCAAGACCATGCAGAGGCCGTAGCGAGTGCCCCAGTTGCCCCAAGCGTCCCAGGCGCTCCGGGCGCCGGCCAAAGGCCTTGGGCCTTGTGCTCTTAGCAAAACGACACGAATCACAGTGTTCCCAAAAATCTCGCAACAATCCCACAACAATCTCGGAGCAATCTCACAACAATCTCACAGCAATCTCGCAGCGATCTCGCAGCGATCTCGCAATCACACCTGGGATCACTTTGGATCACCCTGGGTCGCCCTGGATCACCCTGGATCACCCTGGATCACCCTGGAACACCCTGGATGCGCCGGTCTGCCAAAGGCATTAAACTGGGATCTGTGGGTCTGGCCATTGCAGGAAGGACCTCACAATCTCTCGCATACACATCGAACAGGTCAGGCTTGGTCAGATGACTTTGCGATGCTTCATGACATTTGCGCAACTGAGTCACAAACAGACATCACATGCTAACCGCTCAGACCAGCAGTGCCAAACAGCTCGGATACAGCTGCAACTTCACAGCATGTGTTTATGTCCAACGCATATCTCATCTCTCTTCCACTGGCGCGCACAATGAACATGGAAGCAATACGAAACGGCTGATGACAGGCACTTCTGTTTTCTTCGGTATCGCGCATCGCTTCACGAGTCGCAATCAATCTGCAAAGACCTGCAACAACACCCTGTGTGGAACTTGGGAACCAAACAGGCCCATTCAAGCTACCTTCCTAAAGCACTACTCACAGGCCCAACACTGCCTTCAGGATGACGGTGACGAGCGCGCAGACACCCATTGAGATGCGAGACAAGCTCTCACCCGGCATGGATAAAATCCTGAGCTTGGACAAACCAAAGCGAAGCACAAAAAGGCATGTGTCAGCTGATCGTACGGTTGCTGCCATGGCACCCAAGCGCAAGGGCCACGCTGAACCTCAATCCGAAAAGCATGTGGTAAGGAACTTGATGAGGACTTGCGCTGTGTTTGAACTTGGGACCTTTCTGCACGAAGGCGGAGCCGCCAAGCAAACTATCCAGACCGTCGCATTTGCAACCTTAACCCGTCCCGAAAGTGCGAAACTCAACTAAACGTACGAAGCTCACCTGAGAGTATAAAAAGCCCGCCCTGGACGTACGAAACGAAACTCGCACGAGAGATACGAAACCGACCCTGAACGCTCGAAACCTGCCCTGAGCGTGCGAAAGCCATTCTGAACGAACAAACCCTGCCCTGAAGATAGGAAACCTGCCCAGAAGAAATGAAACCCAGCCCTGACTCAACCTGAACGTACGAAACGTCCCTGAACGCACGAAACAACCCGCCAAACGTGAAACCCGCCCCCCACGCACCCGCCCTGAACGTACGAAAGCTGACCCTGCACGTACGAAACCCGTACGCTAGCTGACTCTCGAGCATTCCTCGATTCCTCCACCATCTCCCACCTGCCCCTTCCATGTACCGAAGGCCTAGGAGAATCCAAGCCGATGATCTAGCAATACGACCTCAAGCACTCTCACACGAGTCGCCCATAGATCGTAGAATCGTAGAGTCGCTCTAGCTCCGTTCCCTGTGCAGCAAACTCGCCAGCGGCGAATCTTTTCCAATGACAGTCAAGTTTTGTGGAAGCACAAACTCAGCTGCCGCATCTTTGCCTTGTGGTCACGGAAGTGTCTGCGATCTGTTCTGACGTTTACAAAAATCGGAGGCGCGACCGCCCTGATCTTGCTCGCGAACCTACTGTAGTCTGAGGGAATAACATAGCTTAAGCTTCCAAGGGGGCTACTTTGCCAATGACTCGCAGAACTCCCGAAACATCGGATTCCATTGTGCTGTAAAGCCCAAGTACAGCTTGGGGTGGTGATCCACTTCGTAAGCCCTTCTAACTTTGACTCGGGTCAAGCTCCAACAACAAGTCGAAACACATTCCCACAGCCGCTTAAATAAAATACTCCGAAAGCGGATGTTTATCATTTCTGCGCGTTTGTCGTGTTGAGTAGACATTGTCTTGGGACCAATAACGCTGCTCAAATCAGCGTTTTGCATATGATCGCCGTATGAATGGACGTCACTGCCCCCCCCCCTTAACGCAACCTTTCGCGCGTCGTGCCGCAAAAACAACAGACACCCTGAAATAGCAGGGCGGTTTAGAGTATAGCATATAGGGCGCAGACTTCAAAACCCGAAACCCGAAAACCCCGAGCGTATAGTCCACAACTTGCCACATGCTTTCCAGATACGTCCCGGACTTGCGCCTCGAGGACAATATACGGGGGTTGAAAGTTCTGGGTCCTATGCATAGAACCCTGCACCAGGCACACCAACCACCTAAAAACTCAAACCCGAATCCTACACCCTGACGCCTTTAACGTTAACGTCTACATCTTTGACTGCGACTACGACTCGCACCACCACTGCTGCTGCTGCTGCTGCTGCTGCTGCTGCTGCTGCTGCTGCTGCCGCCGCTGCCGCCGCTGCCGCTGCCGCCGTTGCTGCTGCTGCTGCTGCCGCCGCCGCCGCTCCTCCCGCTCCTACTACTACTACTACTACTACTACTACTACTACTACTACTACTACTACTACTACTACTACTACTACTACTACTACTACTACTACTACTACTACTACTACTACTACTACTACTACTACTACTACTGTACTACTACTACTACTACTACTACTACTACTACTACTACTACTACTACTACTACTACTACTACTACTACTACTACTACTACTACTACTACTACTACTACTACTACTACTACTACTAACTACTACTACGACTACTACTACTACTAACTACTACTACTACTACTACTACTACTACTACTACTACTACTACTACTACTACTACTACTACTACTACTACTACTACTACTACTACTACTACTACTACTACTACTACTACTACTACTACTACTCCTACCACCACCACCACCACGACCACGACTACTACTACTACTACTACTACTACTACTACTACTACTACTACTACTACTACTACTACTACTACTACTACTACTACTACGATTTCCCCCCCCGCCCCCAGTGCGACGGACGCCGTTGGACTCGTCAAGATGAACGCTTCAACCCGAAGCATACGTCACGCTGTCAAGGTTCAGGTTTTGGGTGAGCGTTGCAGCAGCACTTCGTTTGAGAAGAAAGTCTCAGATCTAAACTCTAAGCCCCGCAGGCACCATGAACCCTTCTCTAAGCCCGAAACCCTAAACCCTAAAGCCTAAACCCTAAACCCTCAACTCTATACCTAGACCCTACACCCTAGACCCTATACCCCACACCCTTAACCGTAACCTGAAGCGACTTGGGGGTTCATGGAGTTCGCACGCACTGGTAACACAGGAAGTTCGCCTATCTGAAACGTAATTACCCCCTCCCCCACCCCACCCCGCAAAAGATAGGATGCGCCGCGCGGCAAATTTGCGCTCCATGGTACCACGAAAATGCTGGAATTTTCAGCATCTTCGGCGAATGTAACAGCAGATATGCTGGTATTTACAGCATTTTCGGGTGCTGAAGACAAAAAAGGACAAAAACGTGATCGGCAACATCGAGGCTGAAAATACTTGTTTGTTTGGAGACACAAAAAAAGCCTAAAAATGAATAAAGAAGAAACAAGCGCGAATGCTGGTATTTGCAGCATTTTCTCGTCGAAAACGCGATGTTTTTGATAAAAAACAGCTTTGAGAACGACACTTTTACAGTGCGGTTGTGCACATTTTCAAAAGTCACCCTCAAAAACACAAGCGAAACGCGCGTTTTTGAAAAGAAAAAAAATGCATAGAAAAGTGTGTTTTGTCCGTCGCACCGGGGGGGGCAACCTACTCCTAGTAGTGCTATTGCTGCTACTACTACTACTACTACGACGACGACGACGACGACAACGACTTCTACTACGACTACCCCTACCACTACCTTTACCACTCTACTCATTACTGCAAGTATACAGTCGGGGTACGACAGGACCCGAGACACGGGAACGCGCACGCGGAGTGCTGCACGAGGATTCCCCCAGTATATAAAAAAGATATATATATATATATATACATTTGTATATGTATATGTATATGGTGGCGATATATATATATGTATATATAAATGAATGGTGACGATATGCAATGTGCAGATCGGTGCGGATAAGAAACATCATCATTGACTTTGCCGTTTCCTCATCCTGATCACCTGCAGCAACATCTATGTTTGCTGATGAAAAGCAACAGGAACGCACGGTGGTTTATTGGAGCTAGACTGGACATGCTGAGTTGCTCAGCAAGTGTTGTCGGCGTATACGAACGCAAAGCCACAGCGTTTGCGGCAGCACGAAAATGGTTCCAGCCACCCCATGGCACCTCGGTCCATTGCATAAGAGCATACGCAAGTAGCCTAGTAGTCTGCATGCTGCATGCCTGCTAAAACTTCACAATTGCTTTTACACAAGCTGCCCAGAGCACCCGCAAATCCAGCCGAAAAGAAGTGCTAGAGCATGCGCTCCCAGCAGTAGTCCATCGTAGTAAGTCAGCGAAGCCTCTCGAGGGAACCAAGGCATACTGGCACGCTGCAGTACTAAGCTTCACAAGCGGCAGCGAGGACACTTTCGGACACTTTCACCCTCTTCAACTTCTGAAAAGAGAACGGATATACCAGACTCTTCAAGATGGTATTGCACAAGTCACACACACGATCATTCGGCCCCTTAGCGGTTCAAAAAGCCCACAAAAAATTGTCGGGCAGGGCCGAGGCCGGTCGATGCGCAGCGTTTGCAACTAAAGCAAATAAAGCCGTCACCAAAAGTAATACTTTCAGATCCACCAACACCAAAATGATTACTGGTCGCCTTCTCCCGCAGTCGTTAGACTGGGGTTCATGGAGGTTCGAATTTCATGGCCAGCCTATGCCAGCCCGTAAAAAGAAAGATTTTCAACCTACGCAATGGGAATTCAACAAGCTGGCTACAGACCGACCCGTGCAGAATGAAGCAGCAATACTAAGTTCCCAGTATGACCATGGACAAGCGAGACCCACCAGGCCACCACCGACAACCCCGCGAAGACAAGCATGACAGCATGGTCCCAAATGGACAGGTCTGGGCCCCAAGAGTCTGGCCCGGTGTGCTGACCAAAAAAATGTAAGATGGGCGTTTCATGGCGTTTCGGTGGTCGCATCGAAGAGACTCACAGCGAAAATGGCCGGAAACCACGGCCTGAAAAGATTTGCCAAGAAACTCGTAAACCATCTCAAAGACTTACGAAAACTACCAGTGATCTTCCCCTGCAGTAAAAAAGTCTGGATGGACGCCGAACCCCCTTGGAGCATGAGACCGAGACTCAACCTGACACCTCGCTGGCGGTTCTCGACATTCCACAGATTTTCAGCCATTGACAAACGCTTGGAGCCCTCACGGAGCTCGGAGGAACAGAGGAGGGAGGAGGGCAGCGGAAGAGGACAAGGCCACCCGGCCAAACAGCCCCAATGCAGCTGCAGACTTTATCTGATCGCACCGCAACATCCCCCTAGAGCCCTCCAAAGACACGTCTCCGCACCTTAGGGCCGAGCAGTATCGCCACAGTTTTTGCACCTAGCCGCAAGAATTGTTGCGCCTGCTGCACCTGCTGCACCTGCTGCACCGTGTCCATGACACTCTTTTTGCTGTTTACGGTACGGCACAACTGTGAAAGGAGTCGTGTCTAGCTGCAAGCACTCTCCAGGCAAACCTGCTTTGCAGGTTCTGTTCTTAATCATCAAAGGGCATTTCAAAGCCATAACATAAAGGGAAGGGCGAACCGTCTCAGCGGCACTGGAAAAGCTGACAAACAACGCCCATGGTTTATGCCTCTGCCTTGAATCTACGAACCACGTCATCACTCGACTGCGTGGCAAAAACGTGTGGCATTCCTGCTGTTCACAACACAGAGGCACAAAACAAAGATCGCCTTTGCTGCACTTAAGGTGTAATCTTTAAAGGTCACCGGCAACTCGCCCAGCAAAGCCTTGCAGCTGGGTTTCCCATGCACTAGCTCTGCCAGCCAGTTCTGCAGCAGGCGAGAATGTATAAGCAGCACATAGCAGCCATAGCACAGCATGATATGCCAGGCCGGGTATCGCCTCTCAAGTATCGGAGCATTAGCAGCTAAGCCTTGCAGCTTCTCACCAAGCGTGAGTTGGCCTTAGAGCTCGTGAATCACGGCCCACAACTCGGAACTGACAATCCACAGAAACATAGAAGACAGCACAGCAGAAAATTCGGAATCTCTTGTCACAAGGGGACGAGCAAGCTCTAGTGGCCTTCGGACAAGCAACCCAGACAAAGTCCTGTACCAGGATGGCGGGGCAAGTCCTGCAAGGGTTGAATCATGAGTTTGGTTCAATATGGGCATCCCGCTCACCGGAGGGTGGAAAAGGGGAGTAACCTTCAGTGCATCTTGTCTTGGCAGCCTAGGTAGCGTCCCTCGGAGCGGGGGGCGCTAAAGGTAGTTATGGACAAATTGCAGTTCAGGCTGCGCTCTTGGATGTTTCGAGTGCTGCCCTCTGTGAGCACTTGCTGTAACATAATAACATGGCAACAGAAACATGCGAGGTCCTATGGCATGCATGCGTGTTGCGTCGCGCTTCTGACCAGTCCTCCACGAATGCCGCGGTATGGATTGCGCCGTTTGTCGTCGATGTAATCTCGCCAGTTGGCCAGTGACGCTGAACCATTCCTGATGGTTGTTCACTTCTGATAGCTTAGAAGACTCGCCCAAGATGCTTGGCACATTGCAAACGGGTCTGAGCCACGCTAGCAAGAGAGCGGCTAAACCCTGCTTAGAAATGACGAGACATCCTTCGGTGTCCCGCCTTGCCTCAAGCAAACATCACAGAATTCATGAGCTGACTAGTTATACTAATTACATTCCCAAGAGATCTGAAGCAAGAACTTACAAATCAATTCAACCCACTTTGTTGACGTCAAGATGCAAGTTCTCACCGGATGGCACCTCAGCATCAACATCGGGACTGTGCGAACCGGTGTGGAACCCCGGACTCAGTCGCCACCAAATGGCAGGTAGTCGCGGGTGCAGTGCACTTGGACGAATGAGCGCCAAGGTCTCTTCGCGGCTCGGCCTGAAGGTTCGATGTTCGATGGTTCGCAACTTAATTGTCATCACAGCCTCAAATTGAACCCAGGAGCAAGCGGCGGAGATCAGGACAGCTGGCCTGAGGAAGAGAAGAGAATGCTGAATCTGCAAATTCTGCAATCATGCAGAAACGAACGACATGGAACGACAATGTGACTACCAGAGTGCTGACATTCACCTGAGAAAAACTAGCAGCTTTTATCTCTGGCGAACGTTGTGGCGCATCCAGCTCCCGCGCTCGCCGTGTAGGTGTCGGATGATTTTTACAGGGTTTGGTTCTGCTGCGTTCTCTCGTTACATAGACGTTGCCAGCACCAACTTCAGAAAGAGCCAACTGCGAGGCCGAGGTCACGAGGTCACTCATGCTTGGCATGCTTCCTCTTTCACGTCAATGGCTCACTGGATTTCACTGGCGTAGACGCTTTGCTTTGGCCGAAAAGAGATGACAAGAGAAGGACGCCCTAGGAAACGCGGGACATATAACCTCTAGGCTCACCTTGGACACATGTCGGCCATCCATGGCATTCCGATTTTGGGAGGTCTCGGGACGCCCTGGGGACAGCTAAGGTATATACTTTGGGATTGCCCCCTCTGGTGGCCTGCACAAGGACCCTACACCCGTGGAGATAACGCCCTGGGAACGTCTAAGGGCCTGCGAAAACTTGCTCTTTTGTGCCTGTAAGTTCGTCCACGTTCGCGCCCTTCCTCCCGACTGAATGATTGGCTTCGGTTGCTTGAAATGGAGACACGGCCCAAACACGGCCAATTTTGGAGTTAGAATGACCGACGGACAACGGGGACGAGTCCAAACCAAGACAGGCGGTCAAGGCCATCTTCTGCGGAGATCGTTTATGACCTTGCAGCTTCGCGGCCGTAGATGGGCTTCGTGGCTCTGACGCAACATTGCTGCCAATTGAGCCACTCGAGAACTTCGACCTCGGCATGTTTTGCGGCAGAAGCTGACCAGCTATTGCCGAGATTGCCAATACAACATGAGTATCCATGCTGCACCGCAATGCCAACATAGGCCCACTGCTTGAGGAGACGTTTCTGCTTGGATGCCTGCCCCCCACAAGCTTCAAAATGCAAACAAAACTTCCACTCCACGTCTCTGATCGAACGCTTAACGACTGATCACACGGGTCGGGCCGCCTTCGTTTCAAGTTCACCAGGAGCACTTTTTGGAGTGTCATCCCATCCAAGACCTCAAAAACTGAAACCACAAGATTTTCATGCAACGCTCCAATACGATGCCGGGCTGCGACAGCAAAACACCCCCGAAACGTATGATTCAATGAAAAATAGGATGCAGCACCTCGATCATCTCCACCCATTCCACCCCATCCAGCCCTAAACTCCACGTCTCGAACGTAGGGAGCCCTCCATCTACCGGACATGTCAGGAAAAGATCAAGTAGTCACAGGCATTCTCCACAGGAACGGCCAAACAAGCACAGAAAGTTTCGAGTCCAGCTGTGTTGCTCAGCCCTGAACGGCATTCAAACCTTGTAGGAGAGCGGGGAGGTGATGCGTGCACCATCCTGAACCGGTGAGGTGTCCGCATGCGCCGTCATACGCTACACAACCCATCCATGGCAAATTTAGAGGACTTCAGAAAGCAGAACTAACTGCCGATGCGTCCTGGCAGTTGCGACATCTGCTGAGTAGATGTAGTTCGACGGATTCATGCGCACAGGAGGCATCTTCAGCAGGCTTGCTTTACCGAGTGGCCAAACGCGATGGGCTCTGTGCGACAAAGCAGCAACTAGCTGCAAAGAACATGCAAAGAACATGTCTGGAGTTGCCGACTGCATGCCTGTGTTGCAGTGCACTGCTCTGATCCTAAACGGCCTTCGCTCCAGGTGCTTCGGAAAACATCAGGAAAGCATAGGGCATCCAGCCAAAACACCTGCCATGCTGCCTGCTCGTCTGTCGACGTCAATGTCTCTGTAGTTGTTTGCGTGCAAGATGCCAACTACCTGAGTTTGTTGAGAGTGCCGGGCAGACGTTCTCCAAGCGAGGTCCAAGCGTGGCACATACAGCGATGCCTCAGCCAGGGCTGCAAGGTCAGTTCCCCAAACAGTGCCACGAACGACCGAGGCTTCTGCCGGCGCGGTCAAGAGCAGCGCTTGCCACCTCAGCAGGCAGCACCACATCGCGGCGACTAAATCTTCGAGAACAACCCCTAGAGTTGCATTGACAACCACATCTTCACATCACTCACTTTTTGAACAAAGCCACGACTTTATTACTCGACATCGCAAAAGCTTTGTGCAAAGCTGAACATATGCGATCAAGCCATGCCTTCGGAAGCTATGGTCAATTTCGTGGCGTGCTGCATGACATGCATTTGTCCATCTTGCAGTCGGTCCTGGTATGATCGCAACAAATCACAAGTGCTGCCCAAACCCGGAATCGAGCAAAAACTGGTCAACGACACCGTCGGCCAGCATCGTGAAGGACGAGATGGCACAAATTCTCGGCCATTGGAAGCACAGAGAACAGCCGAACAAGATGGAAAGCAAACTGAAAGCAAGAACATGCGCAAGACACAAAGGACGTAAGCGGTTAAACGCAGAAGCTAAAGGGCAAAACTGACATGCATCAAGAGGACCAGCATGGAAACTAATTTACTCAATCACGATCAACAATCAGCTGAACAAACACAAACAAACGCCAAGACACGGAAGAGCAAACAGGAAAGGACAGCCAGTGGCTTTGATGCTGCCAAGCTGTCAAGAACAAGTCTGGAGATGGTAGAAAAGATTTGTGTCACTGCGACAGTCGCTCAAAAGCGCACCGACCAGCCATCATCGCATATTGATTGACAGGAAAACACACAACCAACAACACTGCACGCCTGAACGAAAATATGTTCGGGGATACCTGGGCCCAAGAAGTAAACTCTGCCATGCAGCGAAATTAGGAGCATAGGTGGAGTAGAGCACTATTCAGCCCGACCAGAGATGAGTCCGCGTGGGCCCTAAGGATATCTCTGTGGGAGGGAATAACAGAAAAATGCAGTATGAATGTCAGCGTGTGTGACTCGGGCTGTATATAGTCAATCCTGTGTTCTGCATCGGTGAGGCAAGCTTCAAGCAAGAGAGAGACAGAGAGAGAGAGAGAGAGAGAAAGAAAGAGAGAGAGAGAGAGAGACACAGAGAGAGAGAGAGAGCGAAACAGAAAGAGAGAGAAAGAAAGAGAAATAGAAAGAGACAGAGAACGAGAGAGCGAGAGAGAGAAAGAAAGAAAGACAGAAAGAAAGAAAGCAAGAAAGCGGCCGGATGGGCGCGCAGACTTCCTGAACGATGAGATCCGATTGTACATGTGTAGGCATCAGCACTACGACTACGAGTAACTTCATTACAGCTGCGTGGGGAAATGGCGCTTTGCGTAAGTGGTAAGCGAGATCTACCGACAGGGTGCGAAACTGATTTAGTGTTGTTAGATTTCAAGTCAACCAAGCTTGCTGTCCCGCCGAATAGCCTATTGTATCCCCAAAGCACTCAAACCCGAAGAGGGTCCCGCCCAGTATCCCCAGAGCTTACCCGCAGAAGCCCGCAGAGAAACCCGCCCAGCATCACTGTCTTGAATGAAGAGTATCCGTGGAGTGCCCCAAAAGTGGCCGCGGGAAGCGGCCACCCCCGGAGAAGCTGCAGGGAGTGGAGTGCCAGTCTTCAGAGAAGCCCGCCCCGGCCGAATTTAGGTGGGAAATGCCGAGCCAAAAAGTTGGACGCCCCGCCCCCCCAGACGCCCCAAGACTTCGCCCCAGCCATTGTGGGGTATTGAACGACACTCCCTCCAGGGGGAGCTTTCGCGATAAGCCCTAAGATACTTGACTTCATCTGCCCAACGACCACATGCACTGGGCGAAACTCGAGCTGGTAATACATGTGTCTTTGGGTGTTGACGCGGCGGTGCTCACATGTTCGTCGAGGAGGGTGAGGCGGTCCTTTCGCTAAACTAGATGAAGCAAAACCATTGAGCCGATCGGTCGAACTGGATTCAAGAACTGTGTTGACCGAATATGCTGAATGCCACAAAGGTAACGGCGCCTCAATGACGCGTTTATAGCCGTAAAGGTGACCGAGATGAACGTCGTGGACAAGTCTAACAACAGGCATGGAAAACTGAGGTCTGTCTTTCATAAACCTCATCAGGACGACGGAGGGCATGCATCCGTTGATTGGCGGAGTGGTGGTTTGCGAAAGCAAACTGGGGATTCCGAAAACTGTCATTGAGGAAATGCACCAGATTCTCGAAGACCCTAAAGAGAAACGATGAACATGCGAAAGCTGTGACAAAAACGACAAAAAAACATTATAAAAAAAAATCAGAATGAAAACATAAAGCAAACATCAAGAGAACAAAAATAAATTTTGACCAAAACCCATGAAAATCTGGGGGAAGCTTCGATAGCAAAAGCGCCAGGGGTGGCCACGGCCCAAATGCTGACAGAGCAAGGCGGCAAACGCTGTCCCAAGCTTTTGGCTTGTCTGGTGTCGAGTAAACAAGCCAATTGTTCGCAGCTAGCGGATGTGATGGGCACGCAGTGTGTTTGTGCAACACAACGAAGTCTTGCCGCAGAGCCTGGAGGGAGAGAATCAATGTGGAAACGCAAAGCTGTACGAGCGTTTGTGACTTTCGAAAGTCTCACTGACCTAGGCCCCTTGCATGACTCCACCCACCAAGACCACGGAGCAGTAGGAGATAACGCCGGGACCAAAGCAAATAAATACCTGTGTTCGCATCTTGCTAAGATTCAAAACATGATGTTTTAACTACGGCACTCAAAGAGAAAGCTGCTATGCTGCGTGCTGGCCACGGTCAGGTCACCCAAACCTATGTATTTGAGAGGAGCAGGTCCTGCTGTATAGCCGATGGCCTCAGAACGCAGCGCCGATTGCCCAGCCATGCCCAGCCCCATTTCGATGCAAGTTGGGACCGGAACCAGCAAGGTGCCAACTGTGGCCCAGCTGAGTACTAGCAACGTGCAGAGGTCAAGTGCTATGCCTAGCTTCAATGTCAGCTGCAAAGCGTACGGGTCGTCAGCTGAAATGCCGAAATGTGAGATGCAGGGGTCCTGTGAGGTTGAATTCCGTAGCCAGCACAGACCACAAGAAAAATGACAGCCTGCATGTCTGCCCGTAACTGTTGCATTATTGTGACTACCCAAGTGCAACAGTGTATAACAGCGGCAGAGTGACCACCACAACAAGGCAATCGCAGCCAGCACCTTCGCAAGATTTGCAGTGTCACATGTGCCACATGCTGCATAAGCATGCATAAGCTATGTGCGAGGCATGGCATGCCCTCCAAGAAGCGCTTAACCGTCTTAACCGCACCCACCATATGCTACAATGTGTTGTTTCTTTGCGCTCAAGCAACTCAAGATGTAGTGGACAACCTTACTGGGTTTACCACAGACGTGTGACATCGAAACCTTATGTGTCAATGCACAGTTCGCGGATGACCCAAGGTCTGTCATGAAGATTGCCATCGGACAGGGCCTTCAGCACCATAGGAGAAACAAGACCTTCAGCTGAAAGAACCAATTTCTCTCACGCAATCTCTACCCAAAGCTCATTACAGCGAAAATCGACGCAACACAGTCGGATACTGTGCCGCCGACCATCCACAAGAGTCCGGTCGCCTGCTGTCTCTGCCGTGTCAATTCCTTTTTCAAAGTCCTTGTACCTGCCACCGGAAAGCAATCGGGACAGCCAAGCGGCTGTGTCAAATCAAGTGGGTGCTTGCATGCATACACAACTGCGCAACTCCCATGCACTGGCACAGGTGCTCACGAGTTCACGAGATTTGCTGTTGCTTGCACTGCTAGCAAGGCGATCACCAGAGCGAACACGACCTGCGAAGGGACCACACGTCAGACAAAGACAAGGCACGAAGTGCAGCACCAGCATTAGATTGAGTTCTTGTGGCTTGCCGGGCTTACCGGGCTTACCGTGTAGCCCGGAAGCTCGATGTGAAGAAGGCATCGGAGAACTGCAAGAAGCACCAGGTAAGGTCCAATGATGCCAGCAAAGCTCCAAGGCCTCTGCACGTTAAAACTTTTTAACTACCACTTCATAATCGTAAACACGCAGTGACAGCCGCCCACCTCAAGGCCGTAACCAAGCCTTCCAGAAACGATGGACGTCCCGGGGAATCCTTCGAGCGCCGACCCTTTCTTTTTTGCTTACGGCTTCTGGGCCCAAGCAGGCGATGTGGACCGGATGCTGACGAGCAAAAAGGCTAGAATTTAAGGATGACCCAAGAACGACCCAGGGGCCTGCCGTGTGGACTCTGGACACAAGCAACATGTGCAACAAACACCCAAACATCAGCAGACATTAAACTGGTCCTGCGACTCATACTTTGCCATCTGCTGCAACATTGTTAGCGCTCCAACTATGGAGATGTTCTTCAGTATGTGTACCGTCCGGTTCCGCTTCTCGGCCGAGCAGTTGGCATTCCAGAAAGGAACTGAATCCAGATTCCAATATAAGACTCCTTGACGGTTTATCCACCACGTCCAGGTAATAGTCGCCATGAATACAAGCATCATTGAAGTTCCTGCCCACAGAACAACACTTAGATGTAGGTGCCACTGTGTACAGCTGCAGTCTGTACAAGCGCCAAGCTTCATGCACCCCACAGGCATACGACAATAACCACTCAGTGTTGACAACACCTGCAACTTGCAACATCGCAAGCCTTTTGTGAGAGCAGTGCGACCCGCCGTGTCGAAACCAGAAATTAAGACGAAAACGGCACCAAACAGACCGAAGATGATGTGGACCATGTGCAAACTAACAGCGAACTCCTCAGCTCACGGGGATGTCAGAGTTACCGCATCAATTCTCTTTATACTGCCAATGTTCAACATCAGACACGTCACCCTGGGAAGCGGAGCCACTGCAGGAGCCACCATGTGTTCCACTTCAAACTCAAAGTGGATGGCGTGCATGATGTTCTCCGTTATGAATATCCCAACAAAGCCAAGTCTGGCCAAAAAATCCTCCGCTCGCCGATGTGATTAAAAAAGCCTTTGCCTTTAGCATACTTTGCGTACCTTAGCACAATAAACCGTACTCTGGAGCGGCACATGGTGGCACACCCCTGTGCAATTCTCAACGGTCCTTGGTGCTTCTGTTTTTCAGCAACGATATCAGCGGATCTGCCTTAAGAGCATGTGTCTTTGCCGCGATATCCTGGCTGCAGCTCAGTAGAAGAAAGGCACAGCATCAACAACGATGCACCGACTTTACGAAAACATCGCATCTGTCGTTTCCTCTGCTTGATGTGCTGCTGCTGGCAGAGGTGAGGACGTCCGCTGCTTCGCACCAGCACGATGACGCATTGTGACAAAATAAGTGATCGTATTGCCATCATTCTTTGCTGTCGTGATGTGCATATTTACCAGCGTTGCCCCCGACTGAACATAGACTACGTTTGCAAAATCACCCTGCAAGCCTACGAGGCACTGAACATTCTAAATCTCGAGCCATAACGGCATCGAACTCCAGCATGCTCGAGATTGCAAGTCGTGCTCCCCCAAAGCTCAAAAACAAGGACCCCAAACACTGACGGCTTCAGGTTACCCCTTCGAGACGCTTAGACTGAGTTCGGAAGAGCCTTCAAGCCATCGGGTTACTCCACGGGCCCGCGTGAGACGGGATCGCGGAGTGGGGTCGACAGGAAAATTTGGAGGCCAGCTAGGGTCAGCATCACTGGAACCAAAAGAGTATTCAAAACACAGCTGCACTAGTCACTAGTAATGACTCATGTGCACCGAGGCTACCACCGGGTGCGGACTGTAACGGCAACCGCCCAAACCCGTAACCGAAACCGCGTAACAGGTCAAGGACGAAGACTGCAACACCAACCAGGAGCCCTGCAAAAGAAACCAAAAACCCGCCCTAAGGACACCCGCCAGCGGGGGTCGGTTTCGGAGTCCAAGTTTACAGTTCAGGGTTTCGGGTTTCGTCTTTCGGGCTTCGTGTTTGCCAGCTGAGAACTCTCGACACAGGACTTCGTACTGCCCACGCAAGTAAAGCTAAGCGGCTAGACAGGTGCATTTCGTTACGGGTTTTGGGTTGTTGGAAACTCTGTTTTTGAAGCTGGGAAACATGAGCTCTAAACTCGGAACGCAGAGTCAAAGCACCTGACAAGGTTTGGGGTTGTGCTTCCGGTTTGCATGGAAAACTGCGATTGCAAGAACAACGACTGGTAAAGCCACAAGCACCATCACCAGGATTATGCTTGCAATCACTGAATGCGGTCATGTTTCTGTTCCTAACTGGCATGATCAGGATTCTTGATACGAGGAATACAGTGTACATCTTCAAACCTGCTTTGTAACCCGTGCTCCCAAGAAAGGATCATGTCACAACGTCTGCTGCTGCTGCGGTATCTGGCGGTATACTGGGGCCACAGCCCCAAAAACAGCTGAATCCATCTCCCTCGCCCCTCTTTTCGTTCTATAGATCCAAGGAGGAGAACTTATGAAGAGAAGCAACATACGGCACGAGCAGAAGCATCAACACCCAGGCTGTTCGCAGTTGCGAACCCGCCCGGCTGTCGTTACAGACTTTTCGGGTTTCCTGTGACGGCTTGCAGCCTTTCCTCCGATATTTCCTTTTGTTACGCCCCGCCAGTTGCTGTTGCGGAGTTTTCTCGGCCTACCACACTCGACGCATGATTACATTCAATACAATGAAGCGGTTGCAGATCGGCAAAAACGAACCCTCCTTTTCCTTCAAGATCAAGTCTGCCTCGTTCAGCCCTGGAGAGTGAGCGGACAAGATTGAAACTCCAAACACCGTACGTGCACGTAGTACACAGATTGACACCAATCTAGTGCTGCAATGCGCTGCTTTGAGGGTGAACGCCTCAAACTGGTCCATGTATCACTTGGATAGGCTGGAAGATAAGTTTCTTTTTCAATATTGGGAGACCAGGCTGAAACGTACATAGCTTCTCAAGAAATATGATACGGCATCCATTCTATCTAAGAAGTATGCATCCCAAAACTGGTTCATTAATCCACGCAGTGCACGCTGTCTTTTCTTCCACGAAGGTACCATGGGGAAGAAATCAAAACTTCGATGTGCTGACTTGAGCACGTACATCGGTCCCAACAAAGTCAACACCTATCATGAACATGCCCATGAGAGTGATACTACTTGAGATCTCATCAGGCCTCACAGACAATTAGCTTTTGATTTTGTTAAAAACAAGATCATCTCCCAAATGAAAATAAACCTCTACCCAGCAAGCTGCGCTTCCGTCTTCGCTCAGGATGTTTTTTTTGCCCAACTCGGGGCGACAGGACCGGCTGTACCCTTGGCACCGGGTGCTCCAGCGCAGCACACCTGCGTTACAAAGCCATCCGCGCGCTCCGCTCCATTGCAGAGCCTTCCTCAGCGTAACTGTCCTTGCACTTTTGCCGCGCGCTCCAACGCAAAGCCCGTTGCAGTGCCATTCACTGTCGAACGCGGGTTACGGAAGATGATGGAAGTTGCAGCTTGAAAGCGTTTCTGCGTGACCAGTCGAAATTGTCGGCGCGGGCTTCACGGCAAGCACCGCACTTGCTTCAAACCGCGCGCGCTGTACGTCTTGAAGCTTCGTCAGCCCACAGCGCAAGCAGGACCGTGCTTGAATCATTGTTGACAGTTCAGATCAAAAACTAAATCTGGGGTGGTGTCGGGATGACCAAAAGAGCAGTCGAATCGCTGGCACACTAGGCGCCTCCTGTAAAAATCGTCTTCGCACACCACGTGCTGCACGGAATTGCTCCCGCTCACCGGACCCTGACTGACGCAGCACGTCACACAACACCAAAAGGTGCCTGAAAACTCACCAAAACGTGTCTGAGGACTTAGACTCTTTCAGTTCAAAGGACTTCGCAAACCGTACACGTTTGGCATTTTGTAAGAGCAAAAATGTTCGTTTGCATTCTGGCGCAAAAAGACAATCATTTAGGAATCGTGTCGTAGGCTGGGAAGCATCGATGCTGGAACAGCTTTAAAATCCCCACCAGCGGTTCGCTATACCGTCGTTCGACGGGTGGGATGGAGGGCCCAGAAAGCTACAGAGTCGTAAAGGTAGGAAAAACATGCACAGCATGTTTGCACTCAAATAACTTTTTGCTCCGCTCACAGTGTGCATGCGGAACCGTGTCGTAGGCTTGGAAGCATCGATGCTGGAACAGCATTAAAACCCCACCAGCGGTTCGCTATACCACCAAGCTCGGCAGCGAAGCCACGCCAAGCGGCTCGGTGCAGAAAAACGTATACCAAGGCAACTTGCTGCAGTCGTGTCCGAGCGTCAGGCCCAGCATGCAGCAGAGAATTCGAGGCGGCGAACTCTTGTAAAAATTCCGAGGGTGGCTTGGTGCTTCAACCTCATGGGCCATTGTATGTCAGCAACGCCGACGACAGCATGGCAGGCCCAAACGGCCCCGCCTCCACCCAGGCCACCTTTAGGCCACCTGGCGTAAGGTCACGCCCCTGCAGCTTGTCCCAGCGGCCCGTGAAAGTCGATGGACGGAAAGGAAATATCCAGCCGTCGGCGGGGATGGCTTGCACAGCCGAAGATATGACAGTTGAACTCCTCGTCGTTCTCGCGTCGAACCTTCAAGGGGTCCTTCCATTGCAGTTTGGTGCAAACATTACCGTCAGCGTATGACGTTCGCAGAAGCGTGACCTCGATCTAGCTCTGACCAGTGCGTTCTTCCACTCGCCAACCAAGTTCCAGGCCGCGCGCTTGGACGACAAAGAACTAGCCGATTTTGCGGTAGCGTCGACGAACTTTTCCGCCAGGTACCTGACGCATAAGCCGCCGCCTTGAGCATCTGGCTGAGTGGACCCATCCATCAGCACGTCAGGCCGCCATCTGTCCGCAGGGACCCGAGCTTCTTTGCCCACCAAGGGGGCGTGAGGTCCCACGTCCATGCCCCCATTGACGGTAACTAATCTCCACCACCTGGGTGAATGCTCGCACACTTGCCTGACATCTCGGAGGTCCACGCCAAGTTCATGAAGGCCGTAGGCCTAGAAGATGGAGCTCCGTAGGCACACTGGAAGACGTATTGAAGGGATACCCCGGTGCGTTCCAACAGGGCTTTAAACTCGTCGAAGTCAAACATGCTGACCGCGCCTTCTGCTTCTCGGGGACGGGGGCTGCGCCACGATGGCCGGCTTGTTTTGGTCAACAAAAACACCGAACACCTCCGCCGCCCGTTTCGCCAACAGCGTGCCCTCCTTGACCTGGATTGGATGGACTTCTTCGCGTCTGCATAGATGCAGTCGGGTAACCGTAACGGTCGAGGTCCGCCGTCGTCCTCTCGTCTTGCGCCAGAAAAAGTCCCAAGGAGACAGCCTTGGAACTCGCCATTCTTGACCCTGTCCAGGAGGCTGGTATACGCGAACTCGTCCCCGTTCTCGATATCCCAGTCTTTGGCTTTGAGAAGGGCCTGAGAACATGTGGAGAGTGGAGAAAGCGACACTTCTCCATCTCCATGGCTGCTTGCTCGCCAGCGTCCGTCACGTTGCGGTTGTCGTCCACCTTGCCCGCCGGAGGGATGTCAGTCGCATTCTTCCCGACCTTAGCCACATTGCCGGCCGTAACGTTATAATCGGCAGGGGGAGCCACCGAAGGAGAATTCAGCGCCACTTTCATCGCACCGTTGTGTTCGCTGCGAGTCATCCGGGCACCGGACGATTCCTCCGCTGACTCGATCTGTCAGCCTCTCTTCGCCTTGCCCTTTCTTCCAGCGCCTTTGCCACCGCCCTTGAAAATTCTTGGCATCTTGGGCCCCGACTGCAGACACACCGACGACCCATGGTCTTCGGATAGGCACTTGGAGCACTGGTGCTTGAAGGAAGGGTTCCTGGCAGTTCACCGCTAGTTCAAGCCACACTACCAAAG